GGATGAAGGTGAAGATGAAGATGAGGATGCAGATGAGGATGAAGATGAGGATGAGTATGAGGATGAGGGTATACCTGGTAAATATGATGACTGGGAGAATCTATCTGTTTAGGAACAAGGGAAACTATAGCTTTCTCTTTCAGACCGTAGTGAGCCAATGTGTTCAACCTAAACATAAAAAAATATAAATTTTTAATTTTCTTTTACAATTTCTTATATAATTGACAAGGGACCAAATTTTATGAATTTGAGCTACGCCGCTGAATTACCTCCTGCGGGTTTTAAATTGAACCACCGATTCAAAATTAAAGATTACGGAAGGATTTTAATCAGTGATTCAAATTTGATCCGGGGGTGGCAGTTAAATTAATTAAATTTAAGGTTTCTTTAATCTAAATAATTTACAAAAAAAAACTTTTAAAAAGACAAAATTTTGATCAGATTTTTAAAATAAAACTTTTTGAAACATTGAAACATTGAAAAAACTCAATTAATACTGAAATGGATAGTTTCTGTTTCAAAGAAAATCTGATGAGAAAGGAAGAAAAAAGTTATAAGAAGTGAAAAATTAAGTTTTAATGAAGTTCTTGTTAGTCGACATTTTCAAGTTTGTGATAGATAGATAAAAAGATGAAAAATAGTTAGATGGATAGATATAAATAGACAAAAATATATATAACGATGAAAAATAGATAGATGGAGAGATAGATTGATAAGTAGATGACTGGATCGAAAGTAGATGGGAAGCAAGATTTAAGTTTAAAAATAGTTTAAAAAATAAAAAATAATTAAAAACTGAAAAAATAATTAAAATAAGTAAAAATTAGAAAGTGAGCATGTACAGGATAAATTTGAAAGTGAGCATGTACAGGATAAATTAGAAAGTCAGCATGTTGATGAACTATTGATGAATCAATCGATCAATTAATTAATTAATTCATTCATTCATAAAATAAAGGGACTATAGGCGTGATTAAAAGCATTTAGTAAAAATTGTAATTTTTTTTTCTCTATCTGCAAAAGTGAATTGTGCAATGTGCAATTTTTGCTTATAAGATACAATGGAGAAATAAACACTTTTCGAGTCAGAAAAAGGTTTCAGGAGTAATGTTGTAAAACGGACATTTTTTCATGTAGACTCACTTAAAATTACGCTTACAGTAATTTGATTAATCAATTATTAGCAAGTTACCTTCTAAGATTATTAGTTTCCGTTTTACTGGTGATATCAACGTCCTGTAGGACAAGTTGACCCCCCGCTGTTCCCAGCTGAGTATACTGACCACATCTCCACTCTAGGTCAACCTCGTCGACCCCGGNCTTCCCAAGATTAAATTGTGCCTTTGATGATCTCATTTGATCATTATTTTATGATAAATCAGTTTTAGTAAACTTTAAATTACTTTAAGAAATTTTGGACATCACAAAAAAACAAAATTAAAAAAAACTTATAAAAAGATTTGATCTACCTAGTTCAAAAATAATTTAATTTTTCTTCAAAAGTTAACAATGGGATTTCTATATTATAGTTTTAGATTTGATTTTTACAAAGTACATTTTTAAAATGGAATTAATATGAAAATAAAAACTTAAAAAAAAACTAAATCAATAATAGATATAAGCTCTAAAAAACTCATAATTTATATAAAAAAGATAATTAATAAATAACATCTTGTTTAAAATGATATTACCGTATTTGCGACAACTTGCTCTCGAAGCAGACGTTCTTCAGATAGGGAGTAGCGAGCATCATGTGTTATACCATCCACTGGACCCTTCTCAATCTAGATAGATAGATAGTTAGATAGACAGATAAATGATTAGATAGATAAATAAATAGATAGATAGATAGATAGATAAATAGATACATAGGTAGAATATATAAAAAGATTAAGATAGTAAGATTAATAAATGAATAAAAAGATTAGTAGAAAACTATATAAAGCCAATACGTTCTCGATCAGACCAAAGGTTTAAAGGGAACTGTTGTGAATTGAACACGCCAATCTACAACTTGAAATTACACCTACAGTCCCTTTAAGATCTCATTGTTTCTGGATACCACTGTATAATCATGCAACAGAATGAGAAGAATAAATATATAAATGGTTCTCTGCATTATTATAGATAATATATACAACAGTCATATATATAGAGGAATATATAATAAATAAAACTTAATGAAAAATATGAATATATAAGTAATTATATATCTTTAATGGGACGGAAAGAAGAACTGAAGAAAAAAAAGGATTAAAGGGACAGACCGGCTATGTAAGGTAGTTACACTAAGTATGCAGTGTTGTGTACACACTACACATTCTTTAGGATTCATTTGAGACATATAAAACGTTTCCACGATGTATAATTACTGAGTTCAAGCGCAAAGTCGACGTTCAATATCATGAATCAGAATTTGGGTGGATACGTTTTCAGAATCGGTTTTTTAAAATTATTAAATAACGACGACGAAGTAAAAATTCTATAGTAAACGTGTTAGATATTTAGGAACATATTTCTCACAAGAAATTTGTCAATAAATCGAAGTTAGAATTAATTATTTCCCTTTTCATCATTATATTGAATTTCTTATTTTCTATGAATTTGTTCGCAGATTTCTTCAAATTCATTCTTCTCATGTCGTCTTTTTTAATATTTACAGATCTTTAAATGGTTTTATATGTCTCAAATGAATCCTAAAGAATTTGTCCACAAAACTGCATACTCAGTTGAACTACCTTACATAGCCGATCAGAAGACGCGAAAACAAGAAAAAAGAAAAATACAAAGAAATTGATGGGAAAATGTATAAAAAGAAGAAACCCTCTATGCTTCCATCGCGACAAATTTTTTTGTAATAATTATAACTTTTTGCCTGCAAGCACACAATTAAATTGTACATTATAAAACCAAAAACTAAAAAAAATCGCAAAAAAATCGGCTAAAACCAAAGAGAAAATACATACATATATATATATTGGATATATATAGAAGGTGTAAGGAATGATTAATACACTGTAAACAAGACCAATATCCACTCCACAGAGAACAATATTCTTCCTATAATTATATTTATTGTACAATATATATAACTAGAGAACTAGATAACTAGAGAACTAGACAACTAGAGAACAAAAGAACTAAAAATCTAGAAAACAAAATAGAAAAGGAAACATTTTTTGAATATTTATCAAATGTTGGAACAAAATTTGAATATAAATATTGAAGTTAGTTGAAACTATACTGGTTTCTATTCAACACTAAACACAATAACAAACAAAGGAACCAGATCTTCTTTTCTCTCACAATAATAGTTCTGCAAACTGCAAACAAACAGACACCGTTAGAAAACAAACACAACTTTCAAACAAACACTGCAGACCAACAAACATACACTTCTAGCAAACAAACACTGCAAATAGACAGACACAGCAAACAAACAAACACACACAGCTAGCAAATAAACAATACCAAAAAATTGAACTCTACAGACACACCAGACAAAAAGACATCTAAATGGAAACCCAACAAAAAAAAACACTGAAGACAGACGGACACAGCAGACAAACAGACACTGCAAACAGACATTTCAAACAAACACAGCTAACAAACACTACTGACAAACAAATACTGCAAACAAACTGCAGAGAGATAAACACAACTAGCACTGCCAACAACAAACATTACCAACAAACACTGCCAAGAAACACAAACACTTCAGACAGACAGAAACAGCAAACAAACAGACACTGCAAACAGACATTTCAAACAAACACAGCTAACAAACACTACTGACAAACAATTACTGCTTACAAACTGCTGAGGGATAACACAACTAGCAAACAACCACTGCCAACAAACAAACATTACCAACAAACAAACACTGCCAAGAAACAAACACTTCAGACAGACAGACACAGCAGACAAACAGACACCTAAATTGAAACACACCTAATACAAAAAATAACCAGACACAGAAGGAGGGAAAACAATACTTGATTATAAGTCTGTGTAGGAGTCAGGCAGGGGTGTACATTTTCTTTAAAAAATCTTTTTAAACAACATTTTCCTTTTAATTACATTGCTATTTTCTTTGTTCACAGGGCTTATTTTCATCAAAAACGACCATGAAAAGAAAAATTTTAAAAATGATTTATTTTTGGGAATATATTTGCCCTTAATTTGATTTGTGGGAGTGCAGATACGTTAAAGAAAATGATGATAAAATTGGTTTATGATGCACCAGATTACTAGACAGTATATACTTTAAATTATTTCCCCATTGCAAAAGTAATGCTAGTTGAAGAAGAATCAGAAATTACAGAAAATGCAACGAAAACCCCCCCAAAAAATTCATCTCAGAAAAATAAAATATTTCTTGGGAAAATTTCGAAATTATGAAAAATTAAAATATAATTTAAACTTCAAAAATATGTTTTAGAACGTGAAAGTAGGGTGTTAGGGGGAGAACTAGAGAACTAGAGAACTAGAGAACTAG